CTGAGCCACAGTGACTGACCAGAGTGCGATTCCTAAGGGACAGGAGCTGTCTGAGTTTCTGTGGTGGGCTTAGATCTCCCGGAAATAAGGACCACAGATCTATATTTGAAAGGAAAGTTCTGGAAAGTGATGACTTGGTCTCAGGAAACAATGTCACCTACTCTAACTGATGAAACAGGAAAACCATTTTAAAGGAATGAGTGTGACCGACTTCAGACATGATGCAAAGGCCGCTGAGGAAATACGGTTTCAGTCCGGCCGTTTCCCTCCCCTCACCGGCTACACACACGAGCACGTCTCAGACACGGCGGTAAAGCGACCGTGTTCCGTGCAAGGTGCTTTCCTGTGTGCTGCGGACGGAATTCTCCAGCACGCTCTCTTCTGTTCTTCACTTGTCAACCTCCTGCTGGCTTTGGGAATTCAGGGCGGGGGAGGGACTGTAGAGAAGACAAATGACATTCTCAGCAGCCCTGAGCCAGTGGGGCGCCCACCTCCCGGCCCCCATCCTCCAGGACACAAGGAAGCTCCAGGTGTGGAGCCCAGCAGTCTCGGACTTGAGGTCTCCAGCCGTCTGAGGGTGTGGCATAGCCAGACCACGTGGTTTCCCAAAGTGGGGCTCACACAGGTGGTGCCCCAGACCACCACAAGGACTGGGCACTACACAGCGCTGAGTCTCCCAGTGGGAAAGTCCTTTCACTCCTGTGGCAATTCTCTTCCAACCCCATTTGCCCTGGGAGAAAGTCTCAGCTTGTGCTAATCTGTCTTGAACACCTCTGGAACGTTCCCTAATTTCCCTCTAACAAAGAGAAAGCAGGCCCCGCCTTAGGCCATTCAGCAGCCAACAAGCTAGACCTGTGCTTGGCAAGTGATCATGGTTTTCCATTGACATTTTCCTATTTTTTATTTTTTAAAGCTTAAACATGACTCCACCAGATAAGGGAAAAACTAACAAAACCCTAATAAGACAGGGAGTATAGTTAATAACAATGTATCAATACCAGATCATTAGTTGTGACAAATGTATCACAGCAATGTGAGGTGTGAACAATAAAGGAAGCAAACCTTTTCTGTCCATCTAAAACTGTTCGAAAATTGAAAGTTTATTTACATATTTTTAATGGACTTAGAAAAAAAATAAGTCTACGTTGTTTTTTAAAGGTATATATGGAGAGAAACAGAAAGCAAATGTGGCAAAAACGTTCAATCGGTGAATCCAAGTGAGGGGTTCCCGGCACCGCTCTCTCAACTTTCCTGCAGGTTTGAAATGTGTCGAAACAAAAATTAGGGGAGAAGGTAAATCGATTTAAAGAGAAATGTTAAGTACATAAGAGCCCAGGTGGCAAATGAATATGGCCAAAGTCGTCAAGGTGACACCTGAGCAGCTGGTATCTGGGGGACGCTGGGCTAAGAAGTGGCCTGGCAGGGAGATCTGTGATGACCCCAAATGACCTCTCAAGTTCCTGAGCAGCCACACTCACTCCCTGGTGCCCTAGAATCTTCTCTACGTAGACCCCCCACCAGCACACACCTTCCAAGTGGTACAGCATTTCTAACACTTTCAAACTGTTTCTCCATGCGTACCCATGTTCCACGGACAGCATCCTCACGAGGTGAGCAGGGCCGGTGTTAGCAGCCCACGTGCCAGGCTGGGTATTTTGGGGACAGAGATGAGTAAGGAGGAAACGTTCTAGTGGGAGACAGACAGGTAAACAGAGCAACAAGGCCAAGTGCTCATTTCAGACCAGGGAGTCAGTGCTGGGAGGGGAGGGGAGGGGGTGTGTGGCCTTTGAGAAGGAAGGGGATGCCCCAGGGAAGTGCGTCACCGAGGAAGGATGAGTAAACAGAAAGGTTACGCGATCTTTCTAGAGTACCTCTGTTCTCCGGCCCTCAGGGTAAGGCCAAACCCGCAGACTTGCAGCCCTGCGGAGCCTGGGTCTCTATGCCCCTTCCGCTTTGCCCCCTCGCCTGAATGAACCCCCTTAGTCCTCCTACTGTGCCCGGCTCTCTCCGTGGACCCCCCAGCCCAGAACTCTCTCCTCCGCCATCTCCCACCGCCCTCCTCGGCTTTCACCTGGTTAGTACCTTAACCCTTAACCTGCTGGAACCCAGCTAAGGAGCGGCATTCCCCCAAAGCTTTCTCCGCACCCCACTCTGGGTGCGGGGCCCCTCTCCCTGGCATCCTCACTGCCTCATCATGGCGGAACTGTGTAAACACGCAGGCCCCAGCGTCCTATCCTGGCTCCTCCTTTTCCTAGCTGTATGACCTTGGGCAAAGTCACCTGACCTCCCTAGGCCTCCACGTCCTCCTCTGTGAAATGGGGATAACGATAGCGCCTCCTTGGGCCGTTGTGAGGATTAGATGACATAACACCTCGCTACTCAGTGCGCAGTCCATGGACCAGCAGACTGGGCACCCCCAGGAGCTTGTTGGTACCGAGTCCCAGGCCCCACTCCAGACGTCCTGAACCCAATTCTACATTTTAACAACAGGATCCCAAAGTGATTAGCACACACGTTAAATCTGAGAAGCACTGAGACTTATACATAAATTGTGTAGACCCTGCCTGGCATGTAGCCTGCTCCTATTAAATGTATACATGGTTGTCATCATCATTGTCGTCGTCATCTTCATCCCATAAGATTGCCTGTTTTCTCATTCTTCTCCCCACCCCGAGGGGAAAGACCACAACTGCCGTGTGCACCATCGTATACTTAGTGCCCAGAGAGTGGGTGCTTGACAAATGATGGCTGAATTAAATCATTTGCCTCATTCTCATGGAAGATCCCGCATGGAACCCGGGGCGCCTCACTCCTGGCTGAGTGCTTTCGGATGAGTCACTTTTCCTTCACCCCAGCACGCTGCAGAAAGCTGGGACAAAGTCTGGGAGGGCGAAGGGGTCTCCCCCTCCGGAAGGGGGGGTGAGCTTAACAGGAGGAACAGTCTCTCAAACTCACCCTACTTCGTAAAATCCATCATTTTCCTGCAGATAGTGGCATCAAAATTCTCCTCCTTTATCAGTCTTGTTAACCTTCAGCACTGATGAGAACATCAAATTGCTGGATTCTTCCTGGAGGTAAATACCCTGATCCATCATTCCTGGGCTTCTCCTCCACTCGCATCTTGATCCAGAGGCTCATTCCTGGCACCTCCGCTCCACTGTGACCAAGTACCGATCCATCAGATAGAAGTCAGCTGTGTTGAGCTGGGGAAGCTTGTGAAATGGCCTCAGCCAGGGCCATAAACCTTGGTTCAACAGAGGAATGAATCTGCCTTGAAATCTGGGAGCCTTATCAGCTGGGGGGATTAACAAAGGCCGCGTCCTGACCTGAAAGAAAATCCCAGACACCCTCCACGCTCCCTCAGGGACCCTCCAGAGTCAAATAGTTTCAGAACCAACTCCAGTTAAGTAAATAGTTCTCTGCACGTGAGTGCCCACGGGGTTCCTTGGAGGACTCGACATTCTCCACTCTGCGATTGTCATTTCCTTACAAACACAACATTGAAAGCGATCTTTGCATTCCCAGGATGACTTCTCCAGCTGCGGAATTCTGCGACTCTCCTTGAGTTCAGGGCTGTTGCTTTATTTTGTGCTTTCGTGACAATACCCTCTACATGTATCCTGTATAATTTGATAAGAGCCCTTTGCTTCCCCCACCCATGCTTTCTTTGCCACCAATTTCTAGCTGACTCTTCCAAAATGCACTGCCTAAATTGAACCTCGATGCTAGGAGAACTAATGGGGGCCCTCTTCAAAGCACTTCTGTACAACACAACAGTTTACATGTTGCTGGAAACAATGGACTTAAGTGCACAATTTATTTAGGTTGGCTGGTTTCATGGTGGTTGGAATCTGCTCTGGGGGGAAAACAAACCCTGCATATGTTTAGATTTATAATTTATACTGAAAGCACACAAACCTAGTAATAGGGCTCGAAAGACACACAATTACGAGCAGGAGGCACAGCACATGTTGGCTCTGCTCCTTCATGGATTTACTAAGAGAGATTGCAAACTGCTTTTCAGCTAAGCCACCTTCTGTCCCCTCCCCCAGAAAGAAGCTGTAGGCTGCCTGCCTGAGCCGTGTACAAACGCCCTAAGCTGGCTCTTGCCCAGCTGTCTTGGGGTGGGGAATGTTCCGCGCACCACTCTAAGTGGTTTGCAGTAACTACCTCACTTCATCCTCCCAACCACCATCCTAGGCATCAAGATCCCCGTGTTACAGAGGAGGAAACTGAGGCACGGGAAGGGGAAGTCACTTTCCCAAGGTCCCACAGTGAGTAACTGACAGAGCCAGGATTCTAACTCAGGGTGTCTTGCTCTGGAATGGATGCTCTCCACTCATAGGTACTTTTTAGTAAAATCAACAGAACAACCAGCTGGAATACTCCATTAACTCGACTTTTTATTGCCGTTGACTTGGAAGAGAAACAAAGCAAATGGCAAGAAAATAAAATGAAATCGTGACTTCACCAAAGCAAAAATGAGGTCCTGCTCCCAAAATTAAACCAAACAAAATCTGGAAGAGAACATATTCAACCTAATCTCCTCCACCTTCTCCACCTCCTTCACGCCCAGGCAAGGAGATGCCAAGTTCGGAGGGGAGACTCAGGGTCCCAGAGGACTCTCCATCAATAAGAAAGACCTAGCACCGCCCGCCCGTTGGATTCCAGAACAAGGAACCAGAGAGTGCACTCTAGAGGACTGCGGTGGTGAGTGATTACAATAAGGAATTATTATTATAATTCCGTCATCGGAATGTGAATGTGCCTCCCCATCCACTGTCCTCTGTAATGTAGAATGCTGCTTCTCCCACAAGAGGTGGAGCCTCATCTCCACCCACTGGAACCCGTGACTTGCTTTGACCAACAGAACCAGGTGGAAGTGATGGTCCGCCAGCTTTGGACCCAGGCCTTCACCTTGCATCTTCTGTCTCTGCTTTCACTTTCCTGGAACCTCAAGACCACAAATGGTGCAGAGGCCTGGGCTAGCCTCCGAGAAGATGGAAGTCCATGTGGAAAGGAACCATGGCACCTCAGCTGACAGCCGGGCCTGTGACTGCCACCACCTCGACCCTCCAGCCCCGCTGGAGTGGTCAGATGACCGTAGCCCCACGAGTGAGCCCAAGAAGGCCAGCAGCATATCTGCCCAGATTGCCAACCCACAGAATCGTGAGAAACAGCCAACTCATCGCTGTTCTAAGCCACAAAGTTTCAGGGTGGCTTGTTACACAGCAACTAGAGCTGAAACAATTGTTAACACAGTTAAAATGAAGGTTTTCTATTGAAATCACAGCTGTAAAGGGAATTCTAGCATGACCCGTGCCTCTAGCACAGCAGTGTCTGGAGGATTTATTGAAACATGTCTCTCACTGTGTCCTTAGCTCATTTATTAGGACACTAACAGCCCAATAGTGATTTTGCTTTTATTTGCTCATTAAGTATTTGACCACTGTTTTCCACATAAAAGAAAGAACTATCTTTCGCACTGGAGATACAGATAAATTTGGCACAATACTGTCCTCTAAGAACTCCTGGGACAACAGAGGAAGTGGACAAAAACGCTATTAGACAATTCACTCAGCAAACATTTGAGTACCAGGCTCTACGTTAAGGGCTGGGAATAGAGTCACAGGAAAGTCACAAACCCAGACCTCACAGGGTCTGTGTCTAGTGGGGATGTGGCCATTAACAAAAAGAAACCACGTAAATGCAGGATTGTGAATGGTGTCAAATGCCGTGGAGCAGCAGCACGGGGAGCTCTGAGAGAGCACTGGTCTGCTGAGAAGGGGCAGGAAGGTTTCCTGGAGGAAGTGCCTTTTAGGTTGAGAACAGGTGAAGTGCCTGGTGCAAGAGGAGAGAAGAATATTCCAGGCCAAGGGAAGAGCACATCGCAGTGGTTCTCACCAGGGGCAGTTAGGTTAATCTAGAACACAACTCCATTTTACATGTAAACACAGAGTGTTTTTGCATGGTTTTAATTCGTACTGCATTTTCCTGGAATGCCATGACTACGTAAATTGAGAGAAAACTGATCCCTACTCTGCTTGGGAATTTACATTGTCCCCTATTCCGGAGGAACGGCACGGGCAGCAATTCCACTCCACGTGCTCATGGTGCATGGGTGGCCAACACCCGACACCTAGATCTACCTGCTTTTGCAGGTGTCACCTTCACAGTGTTTCTACCTGTGATGTTCAAGCACCTGGCTACTTCACTAGGACTTCCAGCATTATAATACATATGATTTTACTATAAATTACTTTCCACTTATTCTCCTTTATTTTATAGTTTGAGAATTACGTGTACATGTTTTCATTATATGAGTAGGTAAGTTACACTATTTATGAATTTTATTTCAGGGTAGACAAACAGGCACTGGGTCTAACAGGGTTAGAACCACAGGCATCTTCAAGACCCTCCTTTTGCTGTGAGACAGGGAATCAGGCTGATGTCAGAACTAACAGGAGGGATGGGGTTAGAGCCCGGAGAGCCAGGAGCAGTGAGGTACAAGAGGAGCCTAGAGGAGGAGGTGGGGAGGTGAGAACCCTCCTACGCTGCTGGAGGGCATGTGAAGTGAGACAGCTGCTGGAGAGAACAGTCTGGCAACTCCTCAAACGTTACACCTAGAGCATCATCTGAACCAGCAATTCCACTCCTAGGCATATACCCAAGAGAAATGAAAATATATGTTCACACAAGAATTTGAACACAAACATTCACAGAAGCATTATCCATAATAGCCAAAAAGGAGAAACAACCAAAATGTCCACCAACTGGTGAATGCATAAACAAACGATGGTGTATCCACACAGTGGAATATTATTCAGCCATAAAAAGGAATGAAATACTGATACATGCTACAACATGGATGAACCTTGAAAACAGTATGCTAAGTGAAGGAAGCCAGCCAAAAAAGACCACATATTGCAAGATTCCACTTATACGAAATGCCCAAAACAGGCAAATCCATAGAGACAGCAAGTAGATTCGTAGTTGCCAGGAGCGAGGGTGGGGGTGGGGGTGGGGTAATGGAGAGTGACTGCTCATGGGAATGGGGTTTCTTTTGGGGGTGATGAAAATATTCTGGAATTAAACAGTGGTGATAGTTGTACAATTCTGTTAATATAGTAAAAAAAAAAAACACTGAATTGTACACTTTAAAAGGGTGAATTTTATGGCATTTGAATTATATCTCAAACAAAACAAAACAAAAACATGAAGCTGAAGGGACAGGTGGAGCCACACCAGTCAAGGCATTGTGGCTGAGAAGTTTTCATCTTCAGCCTCAGATTAATGGGAACCACGGAAGGTTTTCAGCATCGTAGTGGCAATACAGGTTTGCATGTTAGAAAGATCTCTGTGAAGAGCGGACTGGAGATGGGCAAAAATGGATGACTTTGAAGGGCGGTGAGGGGCGAGGGCTCTGGAACAACACTTGGCTCCCGGCTTGAGCAAGTTGATGGAGGCGGTGCCATTCGCAGGAAGCTGGAAGACAGCTACGCTGAGAGAAGTCTGTGAGAACTGCTGTCACAGAGGCACAATCACGCTTGATGAGACAAGAGCTGGGAGAAGTCATTTCTGACTGGGGGCTTCTGGGAAGACGTTTTGGAAGAGGTGGTGTTGGAGCAGAACTTGCAGGGTTGGTTTGGGGCATGCAAAGATCCAAGGGATGCTCCAGGAAGAAGGAATGGCACCAGCGAAGGTGTGGAGGCCAGGAGTGCCCAGGTCTCATGGGGTTCCGTTCAGCCAGATCAGAAGGAGACAAAAATTACAGTGATGCATTAGTCAGGGTTCTCCAGAGAAACGGAACCAATAAGATCTATAGATATATACATAAGAGGAGATTTATTATAGAATTGACTCAGGCGCTTACGGAGACTGAGGAGTCCCACAGTCTGCCCTCTGGAAGATGGATGAACCAGGAAAGCTGATGGTATAAGTTGCAATCTGAATCCGAAGTCCTGAGAGCCAGGAGCAACGCTGTCTGGGGACAAGAGAAGATGGATGTCCCAGCTCAAGGAGAGAACAAATTTGACCCTCTTCTGCCTTATTGTTCTATTCAGGCCCTCAACAGATTGGAGGATGCCCACCTGCATTGGTGAGGGTGATCTTTACTCAGCCTACTGATTCAAATGCTAATCTCTTCCAGAAACACCCTTGCAGACACACCCAGAAATAAGGTTTTACCAGCTATCTGGGCATTTCTTAGTCCATCAAGCTGATAACATAAAATTAACCGTCACAAGTCCACCCCTTGTCAACTTGACACCCATACGCATCTCCTTCAACCATATCTCCTGATAGAGACGATAACTAGGTCATAATTCTGCCGAACATGATACAACTATCCTGCGTACAACCACAAACACACTAATCCTGGCCAGCAGACTGTGTCCCCCCGTTTCTCACAACTTCCCTGTGAGGCATTAGTCCCTTTCATAGGAGACAGAAGGTCAGAGAGATCTAAGTGACTTACGACTCAAGTCCCAGAGCTACGAAGGGGCTGGCTGGTTTTTAATCTCAGGTCTATTTAAAAAAAAGATGCACGAGGTGGGTTCAGGCCAACTTGTAGCATGCGGACTTTATTTTATAGTCAATAAAGTCATTCTTTCTCTTCTGGAGCCATAAAACTTGGTCTCCTCTGCATGTCTGTGTTTTATTACACATTCCACTCCCTCGAATCTTTCGATAACCAGTTTCCTTAAGGGAGAAATTGTGCTCATTGTTTGGAAAATGTAATCCACTATAGCATAGGAGATGATTGAGAACTCCTGACACCTCTATGTAGGGCTGTAGGGCGTGTATATTTAAGTGCCAGAGAAACCATAACCTGTGAACGCTCTATCAATGGGGCGATGACAGTCGCCTAATATTCAATAGGAGACGTGTGTTCTTTCTGCCACTTAGACTCCCTAGCTTTGCTCTGAGCAATAAGGACAAAAAACAAATACATATTTGTTGAATTTTTGTTTCATTCTGTTTGGATTCCAGTTGTCAAGATAGAATCATTTCTTTTATGTAATGCATTTTTAAAAAATGTACTTGAATCTTTACCTTCTGGTTTTAACAGCCGTGGAAAAAGTCTTAAAATATTTTAAAAGGCAAAGAAGGGGGACAGGAGGGAAGTGACAGGGATAAAAGATACAGTCATCAGAACTTAAGAACCGGCGCAGACAAACCTCATGGGAGAGAAATGGGGTTTCTGAAAGGGAGGAAAACGAACTGGGACAAACGCCCAGCACGTGCCAGGAGCTTGCCTTCCGCCTGAGTGTTTACGCCATCCGGGACGCCCAAGGGGAGCCTGTCTGAGGGGCAGGCGTGACCCTGGGACTTCTGGGGGGCTGCAGTGGGCAAGGAGGTGACAGCCCTAAGAACAGCAGAGTTGCCTTCCAAAATTAGTCCGAACTTTTCCAGAAAGCGCAGTGTTTCCCAGCTTGCCTCAGGCCAAAAACAGCCACAGGGGCGCTTTTAAAAGGCAGGTTTAAGGGCCTCACCACAAACCCGGCGAAACGGAATGTCCAGGAGAGACGGTTAACTGAGCGATTATGGGCAAGTGACGCAACTCATCTGGGCCTCAGTTTCTTCCCCTTAAAATGGTGACAGGAAGGGGGCCGGCCCCGTGGCCAAGTGGTTAAAGTTCCACGTGCTCCACTTGGGTGGCCCGGGTTCTCGAGTTTGGATCCCCGGTGCGGACCCACTCCACTCATCAGCCGTGCTGTGGCGCTGTCCCCCACACAAAATGGAGGAAGACTGGCACAGACACCAGCTCAGTGCCAACCTTCCTCACCAAATAGATAAATAGATAAATGAAATAAAACAATGGCAGGGATAGTACCTGACCCAGCGTTGTGCGAGGACTTAACCAGGGGATTCAGGGGATACGCTCAGCCGCACGCTGGCACCTGGCTAATGCTCCAGGACTCTTACCTGTGCATCTCCTATTTTCTGTTCCAGGGAAGGCACACATCTACAGAACTGCCCTCCTCAACCTCCGTCTCCAGAGGGGGCCAGTCGTAGAGTCTCCACAGAGCAGGCTGCATCTTGCTCAAACCTGAACACATTCCACCTGTTTTGTGTTTTGGTGACATGGCCTGTGCCACTGTGCTGGTTCGCCCATCGCCAGGTCCAGCAGAGTTGCACGGCCTTGCACTTAGTCTAAGGGGACTCTT